CCCGAGACTGCTTGATGTTCATCCCTGCTTGTGAGAAGGTGAGCAGCTCATCCTGGCCTGCTCTTGGGATGTATTTCCTTTCTCTCAGGATGGTCCACATAATCTTGCACACATCCAAGTTTTTACAGATTTGTTTCATGAATCTACACATACTTATTAGTAGTATTCTTCAAAATGATATCACAAGTCAGATTAATTTATAACTAAGGATTTGATAAGTTAACTCTAGCTCAATTATTTGGCTTTCCAAAATACTCATTTAATGTATATTTAAGATTTATTTATTTATGCACACAAGAGCTGGGGTACAGGCCGTAGATGCTGGGGTTGAGAGGATTCACCAGAGACAGAGCAGGGAACAGAGCAGGCCAACTGACAAAATACACTGCTGAGGGGCGCAGCAGGCCAGTCAGGAGAGGTCTGAGGCACATGGCAGTCAGCTCCCTGGCCGGCTGGGGATCCAACTTGTGCACAGTGGCTGGCAGTAGTTTGAGAACACTGTGTTTAACCCCTGGGCCACCAGGGAGGCCCCCTACCTTTAGTTTGAGATCAGAAGTGTGACTCCTTCATTTCCCCCCGCTTTTAATCAGGAAAGCTTTGGTTATTTGGGGTCTTATGTGTTTCCATATGAAACTCAGTAATCTTTGTTCCATTCCTCTGAAGAATGCCATCGGGATATTTATTGGGGTTGCAGTGAATCTAGAAGGGGCTTTGGGTTGGATGGCCCTTTGGAAAATGTTGATTGTTCCACCCCATGAGCGTGGTCTTTCTTTCCATTTCTCTATGCTTTCTATTATTTTTTTCCACAATGTTTGATAGTTTTCCTTGTAAAAGTCTTTCACCTCCTCTGTTAAATTTATTCCCAGTTAATTTTTTTTGTGTGTGCAATTGTAGGTGGGATGGCTTTGTTAATTTCCTCTTCTAGTTCATTATTTGTACTTAGGAAGGCATATGTTTTTCAATGCAGTTTAGTGGCATTACATACACTCTCTCTGCCGTGTAACTCTCATTTCTGAAACCAGGGTGTCCCAAAGGCTTACATACATCCCCAAAATAGACCTGCGTTCTTTCTGCTCATTGCTTAACACTTTGCACTCCGCTGTCCCCTCTCAGGGGACATCGGAATTCTAGCATATCACTCGGATGTGCCCTCTCAGGGGACATTGCAATTTATTAGTGATTATGGGGAATTGAGTTATTTCAATGCAACTTTTTGAGACATGCATGTTTCCCTGAAGTTTTATCTTGAAATGGCACAAGAAATTAAATAAAAATATCATAAAATTACTAAGATACATACAAGAAATGTCAGCGGGTTTTGTGTCGGACGAGAACGTGAGATGCATGCTCACGATGGTCCAAGCACTTCGCGACACCACTTGAAAAGAGTGATAAGGGGAGTTTGTAGAAGAAAGGTCGGTTTTCAAACATAGTGCACACTGTGTAGTGAGATATATAATTACAAATAAACAAGTCTACATCTGGAGGAAAAGATGTTCAAAGCTGAGCTCATTTTGGTTTGAAGCTTCGAGCAGTGCACATAGATCTAACGAGGAGAAAATCAGAAAAGTGATTATTTTCTTAGTGAATAAATTGTTTGGTGAAAGCTATTTTGGTAAATATCATCTTGTCAGTGAGTAATAACAATTAGAAACTTTCAACCCATGCGTTATTTTATATTTTTTATTAGAACAATGGCAAAGCGTCCAACCACGAATGAGTCTCATGACACAAGTAGTAGTAAAGATGAGCTCCACTAATCAGCCTGCAATGCATATTGGGGAGTGTTACAAAACTTATCATACTGTACAAAATTATAAACAATAAAATATTGTTTTTTTTTGCAAATACACATTCCTCGATGTCACCCAATTCATATAAGTCCAATATCATTATAATACGTTACTTGGTTCTAAAATTATACTAAATAATACAAGGGTCTGTAAATGCATGTTTCCGCCGCAAAGTAGCATCGAGTAGCTGGTAGCCAATGTCCAGAATGGTTTGGAGTGCAAAGGGTTAAAGGTCAAACTATTCTTTGTCTTCTAGCCTGGCAACATTACCAAGACGAACATGTTCTTCCCGAGCAGTTCTGCTTCTCCAGAGAAAGAGAACCTCGCAGCCCAAGACCGGCCATCCACCTCGGTATCTGATGGGTACACTCTCTTTCATCCAGGGGATGAACTTAGGGGTGGGGGTGACCAAGGGAGATGGCACAGACCTGCAAGTAGCACACACCTCTTGTCCCCATATCCGAAGGATAAGCGCCCCACACAAGAATGGACCCATAGCCTCCCTGCTCCGTAAGTCTCAGACCATGAAGCTGTCCACAGCCACTGCAGCAAGAACTCCATCCCCAGCCAGGGAGCTGACCCACAGGGCGCAGCACCTCTCCTGTCTCCCCGCGGCTCCCCTCAGCAGTGGATTTCAATGGATCTGCCTGTTCTGCTCCCCACACGTCTCTGGGGATTGCTCCCCTGCTCTGGTCCACAACCTGTCCCTGGAGATCAAGGCTCCTGTAGTGTCCTCACCGCTGGAGCGTGGACAGTGTCTCTGGGCTGTGCTGATGCTGCGCGTCCTGACCCCGGGATGCAGCTGAGTTGGGCAAGGTCCCCATGGAGCACGGTGGAGGCCTCTCCTGGGCCACCGCTGACAGCATCACCACCCACCTGGGCCGCCCACCCATCCACAGAGGCATCACCCACCACACCCCTGGACGCCCCAACACAACTGTAGGGGGATGTGACACGAGTCCCCTGAACCCCTCACCTTCAGAGCAGACAGTGACCCTTGCTGCAACAGCCCACATGGGTCACGTCACAACAACAGACACTTCCAGGGAATGTGGTACTAGCAGAGGAGCGTTGTCTTAGCAAACCCTGCAGGCCTCTTTGGACCAGGTCTGAGGTGAAGGCTGAGGGGCCCGATGCCATCTTTAATGGGCGCTCAAGGACACCTAGGAGCCTGCAGCATCGTGGAAAGCGGCCTGCGGCCTAGGGGTGAAAGCCTCAGCGACCTCCCACAGCGCGTTGAGGAATATGGCCCGTGGCCCCGACACTCCAGGTGGAGTTTGAAGGGACCAATGTACCTCCCCCTGAATCAGGGAAGATGCTGTCAGGGGACAGACACCCCGTTAGTCACCGACCTGGAAACACAGGATGGGGGCTCTGGCCGTAGAGATGTTCCTGACGGAGGAAGCTGTGTAGAGGGCGCGGGCAGGGCGGAGCGGGCTTCCAAGTCCCAAATCCACGATCAGAAAAACAATCCCCGACGGACGGGCCCCGAGCCCAGCCCTGCGGAGAGGACACCGCGGAGCCGACACAGGGCACGACTGCAAATCCACAGACCGAGGCTAGGTGTGGACATGCAGGCGAGTAACGGGGGCAAACTCAGCGGGCCTTGGAGCCTCAGGAGAGGCCTCAGGCCAAGCCCTTCAGCAAGAGACACACCGCAGAGACCCCCACGACCAGCTCCCGCTCCCTGCCTGCCACAGCCATGGGAGCCCCTGCTTCTTGGCCCCAGCGGCCACCCTCGGGACCGTTCTGCTCAGGGAGCTTTCTTGTCCTTACTCCTGTGAGTAAATGTCTGGCTCTTCTGGAACTCTGGGCTCCACTTGGAAGTACTTTCGTACCAAAGACAAGAAATGAGGAAGAGCACACCCGAGGCCTCAGACTCTGGGCCTGCTGCTCAAACTCTCCGCTCAGCATCACCATGGCACCAAAGAAACACACCAGAAGGTGCCCGGGGCCCCTGAGGGGGGAGTGGTAGCGAGAGTGACATCAAGGACTTCCTCGGCCACCACCTTCCACACCGACCACTCACCCCAAGGTATGAACTGACTCAGACAAAGACCACATTCAGGACACGGCCAGCAACGGCGGAAGGGATTATGTTCTGAACAAAGAGTGAAGGAAAAAGACCTGGATTACATCATCACCTCCAGGAGGAATACAGGGGAACAAAGAAAGGGTCAGGGGAAAAAGACAAAACTAGCAGGCAGATGACAGAGCTGAGACGCCAGCAGGGGATGGGGCAGAAGAGGGGCCAGGAGGGGAGGAGGAGCACCAGGGCCTGGGGTGACGGGTCACAGGGGCGGTGCGGAATGGACATTTGCAAGAATTATACAGAAGGGGAGCAATCCAATATTGCACAAAGATGAACAACAATTTAATAAAAAAAATTGAACAGGCAAGAATCCTTTCCTTTAAAAAAAATTAAGGGGCTTCTGTTGGCGCAGGGTGAAGTCTCAGCACTATGAAGCTGTTCTCAGTACTGCAGACACGAGTTCGATCCCTGGCCAGGGAGGTGACCCACGGGCACAGTAGACCTCTCCTGTGTCCCCACTGCCCCCCTCAGAGTGGATTTGAGTAGAACCGCCTGTTGTGCTCCCCACTTTCTCTGTGGAGAATCCTCTCACCCCCTCATACCTCCAGCTTGCATCCCAGATCTTGTATGCAGAATTAATCTTCCAACAAAATTTCATTATTTTGTAGAACTGGGGTGTAGACCAGAGGTTCATGGGTGAGAGGATTCACCAGATACTGAGTGTGGTGACAAACAGGCAGAACCACTGAAATACCTGGCTAACGGGAGCAGCGGGTGACACAGGAGAGGCCTGCTGCGGCCATATGTGGGGCGGCTCCCTAGCTGGGGCTGAAACCCTGGCCAGAGCAGGCCATAGCACTGAGACTTAACCCCGAGGCCACCAGGGAGGCCCCGAAAAACGTTCATCATGAAAGGTAGGTAAAGACAGCTGCAGACCTCAACCTATAACCGATAGCACACAGTTCAACGTTTCCTTCTAGAGGAGGACATTTTGGTGGTGAGCAATTCCAGCATCAGGGGGCACCACAGAGGATGAGAGTACTAAACAGAACGTGATGACTAAGTTAGAAAACCCAGAGAGATACCTTACCCACGCAACATGCAGTGTGCCATGTAGACAGACAGCTGCTGTGGACAGGCATAGCATCGCCCAGGAACTTAAGAGGATACTAGAAGCAACAGCACAGGAACAGTGACATCATCACTGCATGAACTTGGGAGAACAGAGTGAACCAGGTAATTCCACGCAATTAGGATTGAAACTGTATGTCAGTTCCCATTGCTCTCAGCTGCATGAAGTTTGAATAGTTTTTAAAAGATTTTTATTTATTCAAGCATACAAGAACCAGGGTACAGGCCAGATGTGTGGGAGGGTGAGAGGATGCACAAGAGACAGAGCGGGGAACAGAACAGGCAGACTGACCGAAATACACTGCTGAAATACACGTAGCAGGTGAGACAGGAGAGCTCTGCCGCACCATGGGGTTGCTCCTGGCCGGCCAGGGAATCAAACTCCCACCGCAAAGGCCACGGACAGCTTCACAGCGCTGCGCTCAACCACCTGCACCACCAGGGGAGGCCTGCCTGCGCACTCTTGACATTCATAGCATTTCCCTCCAGTGTGGAGTTTGTCATGCCTAGTGAGGGCTGACTTCCTGAAAAGTTTTCCCACTCTTCACAATCATAGGGATTTTGTCCAGTGACATCTCTGATGTCCAGTGAGAGCTTGCTTACTGGAAAAAGTTTTCCCACACTTGACACTCATAAGGCTTCTCTCCACTGTGACTTCTCTGATGTTTACTGAGGGATGATTTCTGGCGGAAAGCCTTCCCACATTCTTGACACTCATAGGATTTCTCTCCACTGTGAATGAATTCTCTGATGTGTAATGAGGTGTGGCTTACTAGAAAAAGCTTTCCCACACCCTTCACAATCAAAGGTTTTCTCTCCAGTGTGACTTCTCTGATGTCTAATGAGGTGTGACTTACTAGAAAAAGCTTTCCCACACCCTTCACAATCATAGGGTTTCTCTCCAGTGTGAATTCTCTGATGTTCACTGAGGGATGATTTCCAGGGGAAAGTCTTCCTACACTCTTGACATTCATAAGACTTCTCTCCAGTGTGAATTCTCTGATGTTTACTGAGGGATGATTTCCAGAGGAAAGTCTTCCTACACTCTTGACATTCATAAGGCTTCTCTCCAGTGTGACTTCTCTGATGGTGACTGAGGGATGACTTACTGGAAAAAGCTTTCCCACACCCTTCACATTGATAGGGTTTCTCTCCAGTGTGAATTCTCTGATGTGTAATAAGGTTTGCCTTACTAGAAAAAGCTTTCCCACACCCTTCACAATCAAAGGGTTTCTCTCCAGTGTGACTTCTCTGATGTCTAATAAGGTTTGCCTTACTAGAAAAAGCTTTCCCACACCCTTCACAATCAAAGGGTTTCTCTCCAGTGTGACTTATCTGATGTCTAATAAGGTTTGCCTTACTAGAAAAAGCTTTCCCACACCCTTCACAATCAAAGGGTTTCTCTCCAGTGTGACTTCTCTGATGTCTAATAAGGTTTGCCTTACTAGAAAAAGCTTTCCCACACCCTTCACAATCACAGTGTTTCTCACCAGTGTGACTGCTCTGATGTTCAGTGAGGGATGATTTCTGGTGGAAAGTCTTCCTGTACCCTTGACATTCATAAGGCTTCTCTCCAGTGTGAATTCTCTGATGCTGAATGAGGTAAGACTTACTGGAAAAAGCTTTTCCACACCCTCCACATTCATAGGGTTTCTCTCCAGTGTGAATTTTCTGGTGGTAACTGAGGGATGATTTCCAGGGGAAAGTCTTCCCACACTCTTGACATTCATAAGGCTTCTCTCCACTGTGAATTCTCTGATGCTCACTGAGGTAAGACTTCCTGGAAAAATCTTTCCCACACCTTTCACATTCATAGGGTTTCTCTCCAGTGTGACTTCTCTGATGGTGACTGAGGGATGACTTACTGGAAAAAGCTTTCCCACACTCTTCACAATCATAGGGTTTCTCTCCACTGTGAGTCCTCTCATGTAGAACAAGAACTGACTTACAGGAGAACACTTTCCTGCACACCTCACATTCATAGGGTTTCTCCCTTATGTGAGTTCTCTGATGGACACTAAAAGCAGATTTCCACCTGAAAGTTTTCTTACATACCTGACACAGGTAGCGCTTCACTCCTGTTTGAGATTGTAGATGTAAAGTGAGGGCAGTCTTCCATGAGTAAGTTTTCACATAATCGTTAGAGCCAAACAACTTCACTGCAGTGAGATTTCTCTGGTATCCCCTCTGGAAGGAAATCTCAGAGGTGCCCCCACACTCATCAGGTTGATCGTCTGCTTTTGTTTTCTGATGTTCAGTCAGAACAGAGGTTTTAGAGGCCGCTTCACCATATCTCTTATATCCAAAATTATTCTTTCCTAACTGGGTACTCTCACGCTGATAGGTGTGAAATGTGTTGCTGAGACTGGCCCCACTTTCATAACATTCCTGCTGCTCATGTTCAACATACCTAGGATTCAAATGCACTGGAGTCATATCCGCAGCTCTCCCCTTTTCATTACAACTGTAGGGAGTCTGTCCTCCTTGGGTTCTGTCTCGGACAACGAAAGGTGCCTCATCACGGATGTCCCTGCACTCATTGCATTTACGGGCAGCCCCTTCTGGAAGGGCTCCTTTAGGTGTAAAAATTGTTTCTACACTCACAACTTTTCCTTGTTCACAAAATTCAAAAGGCTGTTGAAAGGTCTGAATCACCTGGTGACTAAGGTGCTCAGGATACTTGATGGGTTCCCTCATTCTACTAAAGACCTCCTTATTCTCTCCAGCATGCTCTTCTTGAGCCTCACCAGGGATCATCATGGTCCTATGTATAGTAAAGTTCTCAGGCATCATTGCTGAATTGCTTTCATTTTTGATACTATGGTTCAAACAATGAATTGAGTCCACATTGCTTTTTTCCATTAAGTCAGTTCTCTCGCTGGATGGTATTTTGCTGCTGGCGGTAAGAACTTGCCACACATGTCTGCCCTGATTTGCACGGCTGTCCTGAGTCAGGTGATCCACAGTATGGACATCTAAAGTGAGATAAAAATGACCATGTCTCTAAGCATTTTGAGTGAATACTACTAAGTGGCACAAAAGCTCCTGTATTACAACACAATTTACAGGTATTGATTTTCTGATTCATGCTTTTTGCCCATAGCAAATTATGGGGAGAATATATTTTTTGGTATTTTTTTTATTTTAGCATAGAAGATCTGGGGTGTAGGCCAGAAGTGCAGGAGTGGGGGTGCTGTAGGGGAGCGTGGAGACAGTGTTTTGAACAGAACAGGCGGACTGACTCAAATACACTGCTGAGGGGAGTAGCAGGTGAGACAGGAGAGGTCTGCTGTGACAAAGTGGGTGAGCTCCTTCACTGTGGATCAAACTCAGGCCATAAGCATGAGAGCTAAGAGACTTAATCCCTAGGCCTCCAGGGAGGCCCCAATTAACAGATTTTCTAATGCCAAAACAGGATAACAAAGCAGTAAAACTAATTTCATAATGGCTTTATAAATCATAAATATTTGGTGAAAATAGTCCTTTAACTAGAGTTGTCGATTTCAACCAGAAGCATTTCACCCAACATAGATCCTACACACCTTCTTTCTTAGACTGACCCTGTGCAGCTCTTGCAGGTACTTTCTGAATAACCAAGCCCTACAGAGGCCATGGATTTCCCGGAAACCTGTGGACTGAGTGACCCAGTCATTGCCCAGGCACTTTAAGCAAGAATCCTGCTGAGACACAAGGACTCTGCTTCTCCATTTCCTTAGTTTTTCTTTCGACCCCAGCCCTGGCCACGGTCACCTGCAGAGGTTCTCAGAGGCATGCACATCCCTCCACGGCAGAGACCTGTCAGTTCTTATTTAAATATCATATCACATAAGGCTCAGAATCCTAATACATGCAACAAACTCCACCTCATTATTGTGTCCCACATTCCTGCTGATAGGAAAAAAGTTCTGCATCCAGCCTGTGGCTATCAGTGTTAAAGTCTTTTCCCACATCATTCTGAGAGCAACACCCTGGTGTTCTCAATGCACTCCCTGGAACCTGTGTTTCTGCTTTGTTCATAGCAGCTCCAGTTTATATGTTGTGTGTGACTCTCAGCTACATCACACTGTCATTGATTCCTTTACTTTCCTCCCAACGATTCCCACGAGAAGGTGGAATTGCACAGGTCGCACTGTTCCCCAAGGTATGAGCCCCAAACCTGAAACTCTTGGTGCCATGGCTTTAGAAACCACCACTTCAGGTTCCCCCTCCCAAGTCACAGAACATCCCTTCCCACGCTAAACAATTTCTGGCTCCTCCTCAGCCTCACAATTACTATGTAGGCGGTCACAAGTCTTGCCCCTGAAAAAGTACTCATGTTCTAAATAAGTCTCCAGTCAACGCCACTCTATCCCTTTTGAGTTAGTCACCTGCAAAGTGACATCTCCAATAGCAATACACAGCCTCTAGCCCAGACTGCAGAGAGAAATATAGATATGACATGTCAGTGCAAGCCATTCGCCTCACCTGAGCTCTGAAAGAAAATAATTAATCTCTATAATGATGCGTATGGAGCACACACACAAAAACAACATCATCCACTTTGTTTCACTCATGCTGGTCAAGCACCCTCTGTGGCTTTACTTCTCTATTAATAAATGTATATATTATATTATATATTCTTTCCTCACAGCGTGTATAACTTCAGAAAGTAAAGATCATTTCTGTGAGTACTGTTGCTCTCCCCTCTCATAGAAAATTTAACACTGGCTAAACTTCCCATGAACACACAGAATAAAAAATTCCTGAACAGGTACCTAAAGAAAATAGTCTATGAGAATACACTGAGAGAGAGAACAGAGAAATGTGATTACTGCAGAATAATCCCCACAGTATCAGGACTGCATACTGGTTTAAGAACACAGACAACCATCATTAAAAGAGCAGGACAAAATTCACCAGACAGCAATATTTTGTAACTGAATAAAGAATCAGTTTGATATATGCAGACACACTCTCCAAGGTTGGACACTGGAAAAGCACCTCAGTGTGGCCAATATCACTGGCCACACTCCCAGCCTCCTCTCAGCCTCCCGGCCTGGCAAGCACTGACTGACCTGAGAGGTCCTGGTTTGGGGGATCGTCCACAGTCCACGGCTGTAATCCCTGCTCCGACCTGATGCTCTCCTCAGGATCGGTAACACAATGCCCTGTGATGAGAAACAGTGTTGGTCTTTGATCAAGTTCAACTTCAGTCTTTGAAAACTAACAAATGCAGTGTGAAGAGCTGTGCAAAAGAGGCCAATCTGAATCTTTCCAAACAAAAACTGAAACACCCACAATGTACACTGCCTGCCATGTTCAACCTCACCAACACTCAGTTTCATAAGCAAGTGCACACTTATCGGTGCAGAAGACAGCATTGCACTAGAGTGCTACACCGGAGCTTCCTCACCTAGGGACACCAGGTGACTGCAGGTCTCCATCATCACATCCCAGTACAGGGTCCTCTGAGCTTCACTCAGGTACCACCACTCCTGCCACGTGAAGTTGACAGCCACGTCTTCAAATGACACTGTCCCCTCTGAGGGAACATTTCTCCTCATTTCAGGGCTGGCAGCCTGGGTCAGACAGAGCAAGTGCAAACACATCTTATTTTGTGGGTCTTTGGTCCTGTATAGGATGTATAGAATTCGCAGTTGAAAGAGCCTCGCCTCTACATTCACCCGTTTGGTCCTAAAAGTAGAACTATAGCTTATTGTATAAATTTGAAAGTGTCTATGATTGTAAGAATAAAAGGATGAATAAAATTTGCTCCTTGAGGAGCTGATAGCCTGGCTGGCAGGTGTAACAGACACACACCCGGAATCATGCACTAAAGGAGCTTCATAACAAATGAAAAGCATGTGTAACTTTGTGCCAATATTTTACTCCTGTTACCTCAAAGCCTGGTTATCTCCAACTCACAGTAAACAAAAACTGAACCCAGAACCAGAATGTTCAAGCAATGAGGGGGGGGAAAGCACAGGTAAGAAATTTTCAACTACAAGCAAGTATAAACCAGACACATACTATGGGCGGGGAGAGGGGAGGAGGGATTAGGGTCAAAATAAGAGGGGGTGGGATGTATGGGGACTATAACCAAGATGAAAATGCATACATTGTGCAAAAATGAAAAATGTAAAATATATATAAAATAATTTTTTAAGAAAAGATTTTCAGCTGACAGAGTCAGAAGAAGACAGAACAGGTCATCACTTTTAAAATGGAAGGACAAAGGGGAAGAGAACTCAGTAATAACTTGGTGGCTGAGGTACGAGGAATGTTTCCTAATATGCTGTCCGCATTACGGGCTGGTAGACACTGGTATTCCACACGCAACTGGCCATGTGTCTGATAGATCAGGAATTCTAAGCTGAGAACAGAAATTTGGGAATCAGGGCCTCCCTGGTGGCACAAGAGTTTAAGTCTCAGCACTATGAAGCTATCAGGAGCCACTGCAACACGGATTTGATCCCCAACCAGGGAGCTATTCACAAGGGGCAGATCTCTCTTGTCTCCCCGCAGCTCCCCTCAGCAGTGTATTTCAGTCAGTTTGCCTGTTCTGCTCCCGACTCTGTCTCTGGTGAATCCTCTCAACCCCTGCACCTGTGGCCTACACCTGAGTGTTTATATGCATACATAAAATAAATATTAAAGAAAAGAAAGAATTTGGGAATCTCCAGGATATTATTGATAGTTTTCATCACCATAGGGGAGAACACGGTGACCACAACAAACGGTATCGAAAGAAGAGGAAAAACAACTAGAAGAGACAAATATTTCTTTTGGAGAAAGAAAAAAATAGATCATAGCAATGAAAGAGTTTTGAAAAATAAGACACTAGGTATAAGAAAACAAACATCTTAAGAAATCTGTAAATTTATTCCATCATTTAATTTCCTGTGTAGTAAATCCTATGTACCTCCACATACATATTGAATAGGAACCCATTAAAATAAATTTCTATTTGTAATAGCTAAAAAAGGATTCAGAGGATTTTTTTCTCAACACAAAACAAGTCCTTGACACAGCCAAAGGTGACATCAACATTTCCAGTGAGAGGAGGACTAACAAAGATGCTCAGTGTCCCCTTATTCACAATGGGTTCGGGTGACACTACGTAACAACAAAAAGACAACATACATAAAAATGGTCATAACTAGTTAAAATTCATTCTTGGAAAACTAATGAAAGCCACAGTAAAGCGACTCTGGAAAGGAAAACCCAGTGAGCAGACTATAACACACACCCGTGTTCACACACACAGGAGCTCCTGTACGCTGCCAGTGAAATGACAAAACAGTAAGCCTTACATATAGTGGAACCAAGGGCAGAGACTGAGCTGGAATAAAGAAACCCGGAGGCTTAAACAATGAATTAAACAAATGAAAAGACAAAACAGCATCCAGGACATGATGAGTCTGCTGCACTGACAGCAACTCTCGCAAGGTAACCCAGCCACATCCCAGTTCTAGGAAAACAAAAATGCATTCTTATTTATAGGCTCATTGATTAAAACACTAATACAAGAAATGAAACAACAGCAGAGAGAAGGTGGATGGCTCATTTCTGTGCACAGAAACTCATTGGACCTCCCAGCAGGCATGGGCTCAGGATGCCATAAAAGCACCATACGACGAAATGAGACAATACACTCACCTTGCGCTTTCGACCCTGTTCAAAATGGAAATGTGCAGCAATGAGTAAAGGACTGGAATACACAGTTCTGCAAATCACATACCCAAGCGGGACCTAACACATGAATGTGCTCAATAGGACCAGTCACGAAGGAAAAATGAATGAGAAGTACAAGAGATGACATTTTATATCTGCTGGGATCGCAATGATTTAAAAAGAAAGAAAAGAACAAGTACTGGCAAAAATTGGGACCTGGCTCCCTTGCACACTGTTGGGGCAAACATAAATGATGCAGCCAGGAGGGAAGACAGGAAGGTGATTCTTGGGAAAAGGGAACTCAGAATGACAGGAGGACCTACCCCCACCCCGGGGTGTTCACCAATAGCAAGGACAGCAGGGACAGGCAGAGATGTTTGCTCACCTACGGTCACTGCACCATCATTACAGCCCAAAGCAAAATCAACCCAAGCCCCAGGTGATGGATTAATGGATAAATAAGACTGGTAAAGACACATAAGAGATTATTAATGAGCCTCACAATGGAACTAAACAACGACACACACTACAATATGAATGCACTCCTGTATGATACCTATGAAATGACAAAACAGTTAACAATGCAATAAAATAAAAGAGATTCACCAAGAAAACAAGATGAAATAAGACTCCATTCATACAGGTCTGAGTTGTCAAACTCTTGAAAACAGAAAGCAAATGGTGGACACAGGGGCTGAGGGACAGAGCAGTTGGGAGTGAGAGTTTAATGAGTACAGTATTTTATTACTGGGAAATGAAAAAATCTGGAAGGTGGTGATGGCTGTATAACAAGGTCAGATACTAAAAGCCAAAGACCACATGCAATAACAGCAAAAGGAGACTTTTTATTTTACATTTAAATAAAGGGTCAGGGGCTATCCTGGTGGCTCAAAGGTAAAGACACTACCTATGGAGCTGTCCCGCAGACACAGCAGCACAAGTTCAATCCCCAGCCAGAGAACTACCCACATGGCGTGGCAGACCTCTCCTGACTCGCCCACTGCTCCCCTCAGCAGTGTATTTCAATAGATTTGCCTGTTCTGCTCCCCACTCTGTCTCTGGTGAATCCTCCCCCCTCCCACACCTCAGGCCCATACCCCAGTTTTTGTATGCACAAATAAGTTCATCTTTTAAAAAAAGAATGAATGAATGAATGAATGAATGGAGGGCCACATTTACTAGGAAAAGGAGAAAAGGAAGCAACAGTCATGCTGGGCAGAAGAACAGCCATGGCTGCTCCCCACAGTGCAAAGGTTTATAAAATGAAACACTTGCATGGTCACAGGTGACAGAAGAGCTGGTAAAATTAGGTTGCAAAAGTTACCATTAACGGCAACTTCAGCAAGAATCATACGTATGACAAATTCAAACACACCTACTATACTCCAGACTCGATGACAGAAACCTGAAGCTCTTTATTAAAAACTACATTGAGCATCACAGACATAAATCCCCAACAACCAAAGGTCAAATGATGAACATCTGCGCTACCTGGTTTTACTCAGCGAGTGTCTGTGTCATGATCCTTGTTCAAACGTGTCCCACTGACCCCTGAGTACTTTCTCCCCTTGAACTCTGAGGTGTCACCACACCCTGGGCAGTCAGAGGCAGAAAAGGGAGCAACCTCATCACTGAGAAAACATATCCATCAGGTTTGGCCAAGAATGAGAACTGTAATGTAAAAGAAAGTGAACACACACACACGCACATGCACACATGCACACACGCACACACAGTGGTGCTGCTGTTAGCAACCATTAAGATATCAGGTAATACTGAAGAGTAACTTGCATTGGGTGAGACTAAACTCTGGAATAGAGTAATCCCTTTCTGGTGGCGGGAGAACTGGGAGGAGAAAGATGTAATCCCACACGGGAGGGCACAACACAGGACGAGGTTTGCATGTTGCATGAGTGGCAGGTGCCATTGGGACGGCTACAGGCGCAGTCAAGTGGGAGCCAAGCCTGTGGTACTAGGCCTGGGCAGGAGGCCCACGCTCAAGTGTAACCGGCAGAAATGGCAAAACACAGTTGACTGACTCACTCAGGAGAAGTGCAGACTGAAGACGGGAGACCAGATCGGAACACAGGGACTAGCTACATTCAGGAGCACAAGATACTCAAGCATTCAGGGACACAGAAAAGAAATCATCAGAGAGGGCCTCCCAGGTGGCGCAGCGGTTGAGCGCTGGGTTGCGAAGCTGCCCGAAGCCTCTGCGGCGCCGGTTCGATCCCCGGCTGCTCCCTGGCCACCAGAGGAGGGTCCCACATGGCGCGCAGACCTCTCCTGCCGCCCGCTGCTCCCCTCAGCAGTGTACTTTGGTCCTTCTGCCTGCTCTGCTCCCCGTTCTGGCTCTGGTGAATTCTCTCACCCTCCCGCGCTTCTGACTGTACCCAGTGCATGTATAAACAAAACAAACAAACAAACAAATAAATAAAATAAAACATGCCTCTATTAAAAAAAATAAATAATAAAAAAAAGAAATCATCAGAGAGACCATGACAGAAGCAAACACAAAGAAATTTGCATCTTCCAAAACACTGAAGATGGAGGAAAACTCACCAACACATACGACGAGGTCAACATTGCCTTGATCCCCCCAAAAAAAAGACAGCATAAAAGGGAAAAATAGACCAACACCACCAAAGAACAGAGAAGCGAAAATCCTCAACAAATCCCAACCGATTTAATACAGCAACATGGAGTCTCCCTGGTGAAGCAAGGGGTTAAGGCAAAGCACTATGAAGCTATCCACAGCCCCTGCAGCATGAGTTCGATCCCCAGTCAGGGAACTCACCCACATGGCACACCTGACCTCTCCTGTCTCCTTTCTGTTCCCCTTAGTAGTGTATTTCACCAGATCGGCCTGTTCTGTTCCCCACTCTGTCTCTGGTCAATCCTCTCACCGACCACATGTCTGGCCTGTACCCCAGCTATTATATGGATAAATGAATCAATCTATAAAATTCCAAATGGATTAAATATTTGGTGATGTACTTGACAGAAAATATAGGGACACACTAAGGACAGTTGCCCCAAAGTG